ATTGTCTTACTGCTTTGCACTCTGAATGCATGTCCCTTCTTGGATACAATATTACATATTATAATGGTCATGGGAGAATGGATTGGTTTGAGCCCAGGTTGGGCCTCTTCTTCCCCTACGGAGTCCCACATGGCAGATGGGCAAGAATACGGTGATTCAAGTTACAGGCAGGAATAATATTTAGAATATTTAACAATCAGCACAGTCTGGGTACCAGCTAGTGAGAATAGATGCTCAACCATAAACAACGAGTATCTGGGTATTACTCGCTGAATGTCTGCCTTGACAATAAGGAAGTCAAGAATGGTTTGGTTGGGGAAGGGGAGGAAGAGTTTTGATTCATTGTAAAATTATCTATACCATTTTTCCTCTGATTTGCATTAAACCTTCCCAAAGGCAAAAAAATTATCTGAAAAGACATGTTTGTTAATTTTTATGGGCAAATCCAATTTAGATCAAACAAGGAATGTGAAACATAATTACCATACAGGAAATTCTGACATCAAGAAGAACATTCCCAAAGTTTGCTGCTGATATCATCACTGAATAGCAAAAGAAACTGTCTTTTCCAATAACTTATTCTGATTTCCTTCGTTATTCCCTTGAGAGAACTCCTTTTCTCCGCCTTTTACCTCTCCCACGTATGCACCTCCTTTCTTTTCTTTGTATTTTAAAGATATATGTTATTTGAGAGACAGAGAGAGGGTGGGGAGGGGCAGAGGGAGAGGGAGAGACAGAAAACCTCAAGCAGACTCCCTACTAAGCGTGGAGCCTGATGTGGGGCTTGATCCGGCGATGCTGAGATCATGACCTGAGCCAAAACCAAGAGTGGGACACTTAACCGACTGAGCCACCCAGGCGCCCCTCACCTCTTTTGTTTTCCACTGTTGCTAATTCTTTATTACCCCCAGTCGCCTCAATAAAATTTCTCTACATTTCATTGTGACCTCCCCACCCTGATCAGTGATAATAAATCTACAAGGGGAACCAATGCTATAAACACATCAAGGAAAAAACACACACACACACACAACTTCAAATGAGTTTAAAGAAAGTCTAAAGCACAATGGCATCTTCCTTCTCTGATTAAATATGCTTTTATAGAAAAAGAAAATGGTTTTTTTGCCCACTTTCATTCTGGTTTGTTTATTCTGGATAACTGTATACTTAAATTATAACATTTCCAGTTCAATGACAAATGTCCTCCTTCAGCAATCTTATGTTAAAAATTGGGTTTTGCTGCTAGCCTGTAGTCCTCCATAACAGTAATTCCGTGGGGCAAATGCTAGATGTCACACATTCCAAGTAGCAGACAAATGATAAACAAAAAATTTAACCACAACCTGCTTGTAAATCAGGGAATGGCTGCACAGCATTTAGCATGCTGTAGTTATACAATGTCCTAAAGACAAAAACAGATGTCATTTTTCGGCCCGTAACTAAACGAAGGTAATTTTCCATCATCTCCATGATATACAAGAGAATGTTTTTAGTTTAACAGACAGTTTTACCTACTCTGCTTTACATCCTTTGCTCTTATCTCTTTGTATCCGCTCCATAGTTTTCTTTTCTACAATTGGCCAGAAAGTAACATAGTGAGAACAAAAGCACCAGATCCCATAAACTATAATACTAATTGATACCTTAAGAGAAAAGCATTACTGCAAAAGATGACCACGTTGGCCGGGGAGTGGTTCTTGTTCTATGGAGCCTGGTGCTCCGTTCTAGAACACTGGTGCTTCTACCTCACCAAAGGTGAGGGTGGCTATATTATCGTATTTAAAGTTATCATTCAAGGGGCGCTTGGGTGGCTCAGTCGGTTGAGTGTCTGACTCCTGATTTCGGCTCAGGTCATGATCTCAGGGTCAAGGCATTGAGCCCCAAGTGGAGCTCTGCGCTCCGCAGGGAGTCTGCTGGAGATTCTCTCCCTCTCCCTCTGCTCTTCCCCCCTTTTGCACTCTCTCTCTCTCTCTCAAATAAATAAATCTTTATTTATTTTTTTAAGATTTTATTTATTTATTTGAGAGAGAGAGAATGAGAGACAGAGAGCACGAGAGGGAAGAGGGCAGAGGGAGAAGCAGACCCCCTGCTGAGCAGGGAGCCTGATGCGGGACTCGATCCCGGGACTCCAGGATCATGACCTGAGCCGAAGGCAGTCGCTTAACCAACTGAGCCACCCAGGCGCCCCAATAAATAAATCTTTAAAGCTGTCACTCAAAACTACCATAAAAATGTTTTGTGAGTTATTTGCTAAGTCACATTTTCACCTACACAAATGGTTAAGAATGGGATAGACTATAGATGTACTGGAAGCTAACTTTTCTTTCTAAAAGCTCAAACCCAAGTAGTGTCTTGTTTATGTGAAGTATAATCACACCATATCATTAAAAACAAAAACCTGGGGCGCCTGGGTGACTTAGTCAGTTAAGCGTCTGCCTTCGGCTTGGGTCATGATCCCAGGGTCCTGGGATCAAGCCCTGTGTCGGGCTCCCTGCTCAACGGGGAGACTGCTTCTCCCTCTCCTCCCTGCTCCTACTTTCTCTCTCCAATAAATAAATAAAATCTTTAAAAAATAAAAAAATAAAAATAAAAACATAAATCTATCACTCAAAACCTTTGGTTTAAGCACACAATCCTTAAAACATGAGATTGTTCTATTTAAAAACTATCCATAAAACTTAGCTTGTGGGAAAGCTCAAAACAAATCTACCTTTGAAAAATACATTATCTCGAAACTTCCAGTTCTCATAAGTAGAAAAGACACCCAAGGGCTACTCTTTTGCCTGATCCACTTGATTGCTGAGAAGGAAATAGGAAATTGTTAAACAGAGTAAGGCTGAACATTTAACTAAGAAATAGAACGCATGAAAGAAGGATAAAGGAAAAGTTGGATTTTATATAATCCTTATGCTAATAATCTACCAACTGCTCTCAAAAATCATCATGGATTCTGAGATGGAATATTTCCACAGTAAAATCATGCAGACATATCCTTAGCAAACAGGATGAAAGACAGGTAAACAGAATGGTGCTAAGAAAAGAGGTGTTTCCTCAGAGCTCATAGAAAGTTCTAAAACCAAGAGAAGGAGGAATAAACTATACCACAGGTAAGCTTTGTCTGAGACAAGCCTCTTCTCCTTTAGAAATGGGTTTTAGGATGTCTGCAGAGGACACTAGAAATGAAGAATTTAATCTTTAAGACAATATTAAGTGTTCATAAAAATGAAGAAATTTCCAAACAGGTAAAACACACAGTTATAATAAATGTTTCAAACAGGTGAAAGAATCAACATTCTAACTACAGAAAATTTATCACTATTGCAAAATTACTGTGATGTCATCTTTAAATAAACTTGTTTTAGAGTTTTCTAGAACAAAATTGTTTTCTAATACTGTTACTTTGACAACTGTATGCTTTTATGACTTTTCATAAATCATGCTTTATTCCATTTGGTCCTTTTCTTTCAGGTAAAGGAACAGATCACAACCAATATCTAAAGTTATAAGTACTAAATTCTGATATTAGAGAAGAAGTCGACAATAAATGTCTATTATTAATGATTAGTTCCAAAGAATCACCACACTGTACCTAGTTTGGCTCAGGATGACCAGGTGTTGCTGAGATCAGTGTAAAGCAATGTTAAGAGTCGATAAATGTAAGCATTAAGTGTTATTACTAAGTTAATTGTTGGACTTGATACCTTTAAAAAATACATGTAATTCAGTTCCTTTTTTCCAGTGGCACAAAACTAGAGGAGAGATGCTGATAGGTCCTAAGGGGAAGGGCTTTGTGTGATTAAATTAAAAGGAAATTTAGTGCTCAGATTCAGTAACGACGACAAACAGTATCATGGGAAATAAACAAACTTCATGCGGGTTACTTATACAATAGCGAATAGGACAACACGAAACTCTATAACACCACACTGCCTTAAAACCCTGAAAAATAGCAGTTAGTTTTAAAGTTTATAAATAATTGTGAGGCAGTCGTGTGAGTACTTTAAAATGGAAACACAGAAACAAAACATATTTTCAATAGTCCGGTTAAATTAGCTGTTGGCTGACTCTGTAAGATAAGGAATAGCTTATTAATAAAATCACTGAGGACATGTTCTCTTGAAACTTAGGGTTTTAAAAACGGGGCTCCCGGTTTAGTAACTGCAAATTTAAAAAAGCTCAACAGCAATTATTTACTAATATTAAAACTGGTATGAATTTAAATCAATTATAGAAAAATGTATTCTCCACTTATTTAATAAATCAGAAAATATATCAAAATTTACCACTGCCATAATTTTCAGTCACAAAAGCAAGCTCTATAAGCTGTAGAAATCTTCTTGGCAATATTTCTTTGCAACCAAAGCATTTTGTTTCCCAGAAGTCAAATTTAAGGGTCTCAAATAGGGCAGGGCCTTCAGGAACCATGTGACTGCTACGGCGTTCACTGATTGGTAGTTGTACCCTCTCCTATTTCTTAAGAGAGGCTAAAAATGATTTAGTAGGTGATGTGTTTCTATGGAACTAAGACTTATATCTTACAGGCTGTCACGTAATGTGTTACTTCTTCTCAAGACCTAGATCCCGTATTTAAGGAAGAAAAAAAAAATTACTGAGCCTAGTTTAAAAGACTTACAGAAGTTCAAATTACATTTTCATGGAATTCCATTTAAGAAAGCCTGCCTGCCTAATATCATGAAGGCAAACAAAACCAGATTAAAATATATAACGTCAGTAAACAGGTTAACATATATATCGTTAGCAAACACTATTCCTGTCTGATGTCATGGGATTACACAGAAGGCTTTTATGAAGTGATTCCATTTTATAAAATGGCACCTTGTACTGTTTCCCTCTCAACTTCGTTCCAGAACACACACTACCTGAGCCCTCTCTCTCATGGCCGAAGTTTCACCTGCCTACATAATAAATTCAGCAGCCTTTCAACAGGCTACACCGGAGTATACTGCAGGAAAAGTTCTGAAGATTTGAAAACGCCTTACCCCAGATATGAGAAATACTTTGCAGAAGTCCAAAACCGGCAGAATCTGAAGAAAACTGGCAGCTTCCAGTGTGTCTTGAAGGTTGTCCATGTTAAGAGAAAGCTTTGCGGTATAAATGAAATCAATAATTTTCCTTAAGCCGACTTTGCTCACACCATGAAGCTTAATGCACATTAAATCTTGTTCTTTCATTCCACCTTAAAGAAAAAGACATTCATTTAAATGGGGGTGGATAATTTAATTAAGGTCAAACGCACTTCTGCTGCTAATTAGATGCAATAAAATCAAGGAAAAGTTTTATTCTATGTAAGCATTCATGTCAGAGTCAGACTTCTGCATATTTTACAGTTAAAAGAGAGTACTTAAAAAGGAATATCTCTATACTAATGGAAGTCGTATATAATGCAAGTGCTTCCAAAATGTTCTCCTGTCACTTCATATCCTTTGATGGATTAAAGACTGTCTTAGTCAGACCCAGAGTCTCTAGTAGAGCATTCAGATGTGTATCTGGACAAGAGAAGTTGTGAAACAAAGATGGACAGAAGTATGAAAAAGGCACATTCATTTCCCAAGTTTAAAAAGCACCACTTACAACTACACGTACCAGGTGTATATTCCTTTTGAGATGATTTCTTCTTGGAAAGACACAGATCAAAAGAACTGAATTTCACTTTAGAAACAAAAATATGTAAACATGCATTTTTCAGATTGTTTTAAGGGGGGGTGCAGAATTTAACAAGCTAACTTACCTGTGAACATGGCCTTGAAGTAATCACTAGCAGAGGCCATCATGACTCTATGCACAGGGAAGGCGTCATCGGTGTCGCCTGGCATCAAAGTCACATCACAAAGCAATCCTTCAAGTCGAAGCTGGTCAAAGCCCTACGCCAAGAGCGGGAGTTGAGTCACTAATCAAGGTTAAATGGGTATGCAGATTTCTGCCCACTAAAATTCTGTGTATGTATTAACGGGTGTGTTGGAACATAAAACCAGTAGAATAATTACTCAGAAGAAAACTGAACAACTTACTTGATGTGTGACGATGTCTATTTAATTCGCAGTAGGAAAAGGTAAAATGAAGACTAATTCAGATTAAGAGCACATATGGAAAGAGCATAGAGTATATATATTCACTTATTTACACAACTATTGGCTTTATCTTATTTTGAAAAGAAATTACCACGTACGCGTTCATTTTCCCATGTGTAGGATCAGGGTGGATAACATGCTTTCTGCAATAATATGTTTATAGTTCTTCTATAGTGCATTCCGGACACACCTTGTTTTTATACTTTTTGTGGGGTTTTTTTGCTTTTTAGAGATTTATTTATTTATTTGAGAGAGCGAGCGAGCACGGGGGGTGGGTGAAGGGGCAGAGGGAGAGAGAGAATCTTAAGCAGGCTCCACGCCAGTGCAGAGGCAATGTGGGGCTCCATCTCACAGCCCTGAGATCATGACCTGAGCCAAAACCAAGAGTCGGACACTTAACTGACTGAGCCACCCAGGCGCCCCTAGTTTTTGGGTTTTTTTGAGAAAGAAAGGTATAGAGAATCTATGTTAATTGCAAGATAGGCATTCCTTGCTACTAACTAGATTGTTCCATCTCTTTGAGAATTAGGGATTGTCTTAGATATCCTTATACTCGGCACATTGCTGCTGCTTGGCCAATTATCTTTCAGGTTTCAAGCTTGGAATTTAATTACCTTTGGAAAAAAGAGCCCAGGTAGCTCTGACATGGGACATAATTGTCCCCAAATGCCTAAAGTTCAGTGGAGAATTAATAGGCTGGCACCCACGATTCAGGGGATGGACAGGGCTCTTGCAAGAAGAGGGCCTATCGGTTAGCTCTTCCACTCACTCCTGTGATGATCCCAACCTATGACAAATAGGCAGACGTTCCTTTGGTCTATTCTTGGGAGAAGGAAACATTTTAAGATGATAATCGGCTGGTAAAATGCACAAAAGGGAGACAATATGTAATTTAATACTCAGGCTCAAAAATGAAGATTTCAGCAAGATTTCCTCTATAGTTTCAAATGGTAATATATTATTATTAAAAATCACGAAGATCCTCATACAAGTTACCTTCTAATATATATTGTAATGTAATAATGTAACACAACAAGAACTAACAGCAAAGAGTACTCCATCCCCTTCGCATTTTAATGACCCCAAATAAAACTTTTATTTAAAGTTGTGTTTCACGGATTTAAGAAGCAAAAGGCATGACATACTGAAGAATGCAGTTTGAGAAATACTGATCCTACACATATGTATAATATAAATCTCAGTCTAAACATCTTCTCATCATAATTTTTAAATTACTTTTTAAAGAAAATGCTTGAATCTACAGAACTGGAACTTCAAAGAGATAATGTGATCCAGCCACTTTCTCTCTTGAGAGAGATATAAATACTTTTATTCCAAAAATATTTATACATTATACATATACTTTAGAACAGGATTATGTATATTTTTCTTTCTCCAACAGTGACTGACATATGTTTTTGTTCACAAATATCAAATATTTCACAAATGCCTCTTTTCTTCTATAAACACAAACATTATATACCCCACCCTTGATATTTTCCATTTTCCCATTGCTAAATGATCTCCAGCCTCTCTTATTTAGAAAAGTAAAGGTAAAAAGCGATGTCCATTTTAGGGGAATAGTCTCACGCAGAAGGCAAAGAGTAGCTCTTTGAAAATTCATATACGGAGTCAAAAGTGCAATAGGCTTAAGAGGACTGCCTTTCAAAGGAAAACAGCACTGGGAAGGACTGAAAGTGACCACTGGGGTGGGGACGGGATGGTCAAGAAGATGGTGGGAACCATCAGAAGAGTTGAGGGACTAGCATGTTTGCATTCCCCACTGCCTGGTACACCGTTGGCACTTAATATATGTTTGATTTATGTTCAGTTACTGCAGGAACAAACAACTCTGATTTTACCAAGAAGCCACCACTTGGTATTTTAAAACCATGGGGTCATGTTGAGCAGAACTTTAGTTTTGGGCCAAGCTAACCAGAAACCAGGCACTTTATTTGGGAAACTTCTCCCAATAATAAAAACTAATTGCACCCACAGTGTTTCTTTGTATTAAACTGTAATGGCTAAGATGAGAGAAGAGGAATTGAACCAGGGTCCGGGGGTGGGGGAAGGTTGACTCACAAAGGCTTGGCTTTTCCTCCCTCAGATAAATTGCAGGTTTTTAAAAAATTAAATATATGCTTGTTATAAAAATACAAGATATAAATTGAAAACTAAAACACCATTTCTACATACAGGAAGTAATTATTGTTAACAGTTTAATATATATACGTCCAGGCCTCTTTCTTTCTTTCTTTTTTCCTAAAGATTTTATTTATTTATTTATTTAGAGAGAGCGCGCATGCGAGAGAGCGTGCACGCGAGCAGGTGGCGGGGGGGTGGGGGAGAGGGAGAAGCAGGCTCCCGGCTGAGCAGGGAGCCTGACGTGGGGCTCAATCCCAGGACCCTGGGATCATGACCTGAGCTGAAGGCAGGTGCTCAACAGACTGAGCCACCCAGGCGCCCCTCCAGGCCTCTTTCTATACATATGCATAATATATCATTTGCTTGTATGTATAATAGGATTTTTTAAAGTGGAATATTATACATATTATTGTGCATTTTTAAAATTCACTTGAGCACATAAAATGGACAGCACTCTATACACACAAATCTACTCCATTCTTTTTAGGGGATGCACAGTATTCCATCATGGCAGCATACCATTCATTATTCATCCGTTCCCCTCTGGACACTTAGGCTATCTCTCAACTTTGGCCATTACAAGCAATGCTGTAACAGACTTTCTTGTACATATACTTACCTGTGTAGGTAGATCTGTGGGAGGTATTCATAAAAGTGCAATTGTTGGTTTGAAGAAAACGTATTTTTAAAGTTTGAATAGCTACTGGCAAGTTCAAGCCTATGGTTTATCTTGGGAAAAGGATTATACCTTGGGTACTGGCAAAAAAGATGTCAAAATACCAATGAAGTGAGACTAGGTACTGTATGCCACCTTGCTTTATTTTTATCCATGAAAAAAAATTCTGAATCTTCTCTAAGGTATATATAGATAATTATCTGTGAAAGGCAATCATGACTTATTCTGTCAAAAGCAGTGATTGTATCCAGTCAGTTATTTTGTTCCACTAAAAACAACAATAAAAGCCCAAGAGACAAACAAACAAACTAAAACCTCAGTTCATTTGCTAGCCCTTCTGTCTTGAAAATATTCCTACAAGTATTTTATACTGGGAATTGAGTAATGTAAGTAGGCTCCATTCCTATTCCTTATTATTCCTTCTTTTTCCTTTCGAACAAAGGAATAGCTAATGCTTCCTGTATCATTATTTGTGTCCTTTCTCATTTTGTCCATATTCTATTAAGATACTGCTTGTTGAGGTGTATATACTCAATCCTCAAAATCTGGACGGCTCAGCTAAGACACCAAGGGCTTTTACCTGCTTCACAAATCTGATCATTTTGCTGCCCTTTGCACTCTCTTAAAAAAAAAAAAAAAAAAAAAACAAATCCTTTCCCTTCATCAGTATGATCTGGCATCCCCAAAGAAAGGAAGCTGAAGCTCCAAGACCACTTTGAGTGCATTCTGAGTATCTTTTATTCTAAGCTTAATTTATCTACCTTTGGCAAAGTGTCTGTTTCTGTGAGGTTCTGCATTTATTTTCACTGCATATGAAGTAGTTTCCCTATCTGTATATTTCACAAACTTTATTTTCAAGTGCATAAATGAACAATCCCACCATCCAATTCCATATTTGCCCATTTTATTCCTGATTATTGCTATCTTTATCCAAATAAGATCTGTCAATCCAGATTGTTTTCATACAGATTCGAAATATCTTGTTTGCATGCTGTTATCTGTATATCCCAGCTCTGCCTCAAGAGAAAAAAACTAAAGTTCCTTCTACAGCATATTCTGTTGTATAGAAGACAGTCATTTCTCTAAACAACTTTTATACTCTAATCTTGTGAAGGCACACATTCGAAGAAAAGGGGAGGTTATTCTCCCCCACAATTCTCATTTGCCCTGTATGTATCCACCTTTTGCTTTCACTCTTATAAATCTCTTGCCCTATTTAACTCTGGGAAGACTCTCAAAGATGCCTTGATGGGCAGCTGGCTCAGTCGGCAGAGCACGCAATTCTTGATCTCAGGGTCGTGAGTTTGAGCCCCACGTTGGGTGTAGAGATTACTTATTAAATAAATAAAAAGATACCGTGTACACTTAAAATGTGTCCTTTTATTATAAAATTGTTTTCTTCCACCAGATTTGTATTCATTCCTCTCGTCAAAATTCTCTAAAGTCTATTGTCTTTTTCTGTGTCTAGTTCACCAAACACTGATACAGCTCTGCTTTACACAAAATGGCGCCAAGTTTCCAGTGAGTCTTTTAGAGTATCTGTAAAGTGGTTCCTGTTGCTTTAAACTAAACTTTTTTCTGCCCCAATCCATATCTTAGTTCTTTATTTTTCTATTTCTTCTGGGCCTTGGGTTCCATTGATGTAGAGATTATTATCTGTTTTTGGTTTCTTTACTCTAATGTTTCCCTTTCCCCCTCCTATAAAACTCCCCACATCTATTTTTTCTTCTTCTTCTTCTTCTTCACATACTTTTTGGGGAAAAAAAAAAAAACCCCGAGCATTAAAAAAAAAAAAAAGTTTTTTCAGTTCCCTCTATTAAACTTACCCTATGTATCAAAACTTCAAATCCTATTTAGTAGGGGGAGGTATATATGTAATACCCTGAAGGACTGAGCCATTTTAAATGAGTTTGATAAATTTTTAAATGGCCACATTAAAACAGAAGGGGATATGTGTTGACATTACACAACT